TTGTTGTATCAGCTCCCTGCAAAAAAAATCAGAGCAAATGCTCAATAAAGATGGCATATAGCCTAATCTCAGCATCAGCTTTGTGCAAGCAAATCAGGATGATTGTTCAGTGATAATTAATGCTCAGGGTGAGTCCAGAGACGAGTGTTCAAAACTAATTTTTCTGGTATGGAGTTAGTGGTTGGACTAGGAGCTGGGAGATCAGGGTTGAAGTCCCCCTTTGGCCATGGAGCTCATTGGCTGACACCGGTGGCTGGTTACTTCCTCTCAGACTAACCTACCTCAAAGGGTTGTTGTGGGGATTAAATGAGGAACAGCACAACTGTGCACACCAGCTTGAGCTCCTTGGGGAAAAGCTGGGATATAAATGCAACAAATCCCCCTATCTTAATGTGGACAAGGTGGTGGAGGGCAAAAAGTTCAGGTTGGGGGGGGTGTTCTCATGGTCTGATGGCATAGGATGCTGCAATGTTGCTTAGGTCTGAATGGAAGATAACCTGGGAATTGCGGTCTTGAGCTCCATTGGCAAAAGGTGGGATATAAACGCAATGAATGAATGAATGAATGTAATTGGAAGATCAGAGCAGGATTCATTCTTAGCACTTAATATTCAGCCTGCAAAAAGACCATGCCTAGTGAAGGCCTTTATGTTCCGTACTATTGTAGCCGTCTCAGCCCTGCCTAGAAAACATGGTGGTTGTGAAAGAAAACAGCTTTTGTGGTGGCAGCGTTTTTACCATTAGCATTCCTCTCTGAAAACAGAGGAAGGGAAGTTCATCTTTCTGAAATGAATTCCCACAGGAGAGCATTCTTCTCTCTTGCTACACTATGAAACTCCCACACAGACATCGGGGGGAGGGGGAAAGAACCTTCTGATGCTGTCGCATCCTTGGACCCTTTCATCTCAGTACTGCATGGCAGCAATTCCTAAACAGAGGCAGTGGAGTTTCTTGCTCAACTTAATAGGTGAAACCCATTTCCCTCAGAACTATTGGGCCGGTTCCAGGTCAGAGGGGACTCTGGGCTCAGTGCCCCATCCCCATATGTGTGGGTCTTGCTCAACTTACTTGGCAACAGGGCGTAACAAGCAGCGGCGGCAAGAGAGCTCAGAGGTGGTTGCAGCGAGCAAGCTATTTGTTAGCGCAGCACTTGTTCCCAACATAGCAATGATACATCAGGGGCACTATGGGGTCATAAAATAATAATAATAATAATAATAATAATAATAATAATAATAATAATAATAATAATTTAATATTTATACCCTGCCCATCTGGCTGGGTTTCCCCAGCCACTCTGGGCAGTTTTCAACAGAATATTAAAATACAATAGTCTATTAAACATTAAAAGCTTTCCTAAACTAGGCTGCCTTCAGATGTCTTCTAAAAGTCTGGTAGTTGTTGTTCTCTTTGACATCTGGTGGGAGGGTGTTCCACAGGGTGGGTGCCACTACCGAGAAGGCCCTCTGCCTGGTTCCCTGTAACTTGGCTTCTCGCAGTGAGGGAACCGCCAGAAGGCCCTTGGCGCTGGACCTCAGTGTTCGGGCAGAACGATGGGGGTGGAGATGCTCCTTCAAATATACTTTATATATATATAAAGATGGGACTAGTGGGTAGGCAGCCTTTTTAACCCCCCTTCCCCTCACCATGCCCGAAATTTGGCAATTGCTACATTGGGTGCATTGGGAAGAGAACAAAAAGACAGCTCACTCACTCCTGAGATTGCACAGGCTAGCTCTCCTGCACTTAACATGCATCACAAGGGGCTCCATGGGCCTACCCATGTAGGTGTACAGACCTCCTTCGTTTGGGGGGAATTCCTGGTCTTATCGAGACCCCCCTTGAATTGGTACATGTGCAGGGTCCCATTTCATGTGGGTGTGGCGTTGTAGCTGGAGGGCTAGCCCCACCCCACCCCCAGGAATTTTCAGAGCCGAAGATCTCAAGAATAGAGTGGTTTACTGATAAATCCCTCTTCCAAGGGAACTCTGGGAATTGTATCTCTGCAAGGGGACTAGAGGTCTCAGCACCCTTAACAAAGAATAGTTCCCATCATTATTCGGGGGAAGCCATGACTGCTAAAGTGGTATAACAGTGGGTGGTGTGTATGTGGCCTAGCACCAGACCACAAGAGCAATATTTCTGTGGTTGTTGAAATGCTGCTTCAGCCTGGGCTAATCCTCTCTACAGGCTGAGGATCTCCATCCTTAATCGTGAGCCGCACGTCGATCGTTCCAGATGCAACTTCTTGCCACCACAGCAGCTCTGAGGCAAACCATTCGCTCTCTCATTTCTCATCCCCCTCCAGAGAAATCAGATTCCACTGTGTAAAGGCCCCTTGGCTGAGATCAAGGACCAAACTCTCTTATCTTTTAGCTGTAGTGGGAGGATTTACCGCTGTGGGAGTCCAGCAGAGGAACTGAATAAGATGTTGGCATTAACCAGGGTTGTCAGCATGAGAGAATTGCTGCACTGAGATCCTTAGTTCGGCTCCTATAGTATTTTTTTTTTATATAGTGCCTGCCTTTTAAAAGAAGTCATGTTCGGTCTTTTCACAGAGTGTTTCTACAAAAGAGCAGTGAAAGGCATTTTTTCCTACAGGAGTGTGCAACTCAAGTCCGCCAGATGACCACTTTTATATATATTTTAAACTAACTCAGCAGGACCATAATTCTAGATCAACCACAGAAGAGCTTTTCTGTCACTCAGTGTGCTCTTTTCAGTCTATTCTTTGTTGACCCTTTCCCCTCTTTGTGATCCAGGGGCAGAATATACCCTTCCTTCACAATGCAGCACCACAGGCTGCCATCTGACACCTCCCTTCCCCCAACCCCCCCAATCCTTCTCATTTTCCATCTGCACTCCATTACACTGTCTCCTCTCTCTGAACCCCACAGCACAGACTCTGTTCTTTCTCTCCAGTTCCAACTTCTCTTTCTTTCCCTGCACCAGGGAGTAGCCTCTCTTTGGCCACATTCACCGTGCTATGATACAGCTTTAAATAATCAGTTTCCAGAGCTCGCTGTTAAACCAATCTGGAAAGCATAGCTCTGTGAGGGGAATAGGGGTCTCCCAACAACGTTCAGTATCCTTAACAAACTGTGACTCCCAGGATTCTTTGGGGGAAGTTGTGGCTATTTTATGTAGTGTCATAGTGCTTTAAATGTATGACATGAATGTAACCTCTCTTTTTTTAGCTATCCAAAGTGCTCCATCTGAAACCTGGAGAGCTGCTATTGCCTGCCATAGCCAACACTGGACTAGATGGGCAATCAGCTGAAGCAGTATGAGGCAGAGTACTATGTTCCTCTATACACAGGGCCGGCCAGCCCATGAGGCAATGTGAGGTAACCACCTTGGGCGGCAGGATCCGCAGGGGCAGCAGATCTGGCCTCCAAGAAATACATTGCCTACTGTTGCCACCACTCATTGGAGGCCAGTTCTGTTGTCTTCTCTGCAGCCTTTAGGGGGAAGCACCAGAAAAGAGGTATGAAGCCAGTTTACTACTGTGATGTTTGTCATACAAACAGGCAGACAAGACAACCTAAAAGCAATTTAAGGTGTGGAGCTGCCCCAAAGCTTAGATGCTTACATGGAAAATGCCCAACCTGGTTTAAAACTTGAGTGGATGGGAAATGGTAATCAATATTGAAAAGCACAGAGGACTTCTTCCCTGAGCATATTCAGAACTTCTTAATCCGACACTTAATACTGAGGAAGTGCAAATATTTACAGTGGGGAGTGTTTTGCTTCAGAACAGTCTCCAGTCCATCTCTTGCAATCATTGCTAAATACAGGAGATGCACAGAAAAGTGTAGGCACCCCCCCCCCGATTTGCACACGGTGATTACAGAAATTGCAGCATCCAAGGAGATTTCTTTTTGTTGTTGTGAGGGTGCAAGCCTATTGTCCCAGGGAGGAGATCCTGGGGCCCCTGGATTTTTGTAGATCTCCCTCTTTGTGGGCAGAGCAGATCCATCTGTGGAGATTTCCTCATTGCGCTGTGCCTCCACCCTCAGTGCTTTGACAGTGAATGGCAAAAAGGTGGCATTCTGTGGACAAATTGCAAAAGGCTTTGAATCGGATAGCTCCAAAGCCCTGCTATGCCTCCCAAACGTAACCAGAAGGCGGGGAGGAATATGCTGGCCTTATTGATGACATGCATATTTACTTTTCCAAGAGACCAATTGGAAGGAAAATCTTTTCCCCATCTTCTTCTCTACTGGGGCGAGTGAGGCAAGGCCTTGGATTTAGTAGTTCCACTGCCTCATCTACCCTTTTGGATTGTACTGCCCATAAATCAATGGTTCAAGGGATAGCTCAGTCAGTGGAGCATGAGACTCCTAATCCAAGTCATGGGTTTGAGCCTCATGTTGGGTGAGAGATTCCTCCATTGCAGGTGGTTGGACTAGAACAGGCTTCCTCAACCTCGCCCCTCCAGATGTTTTGAGACTACAATTCCCATCATCCCTGACCACTGGTCCTGCTAGTTAGGGATTATGGGAGTTGTAGGCCAAAAACATCTGGAGGGCCGAGGCTGAAGAAGCCTGGACTAGAATGATCCTCGTGGTTCCCTCCAATCCTACAAGTCTGTGATTCTGTGAAGTGGAGTTTGTATTTTTATTTTTGAACAGAGGAAAGAGACGTGTCGTTGAATTGCAGAATGGAAGGAGCCAGAGTCTGATAATGTGTTGGAGAGAATTAACAATGGCAGGATGGCACCAGCGGCAGACCTTGGGGGTCTCAAATTCCAGCGGCACTCTGTGCAACATTAAAAACTGACACACACACACACACACACACACACACTCCAGCCCCTCACCTTCCATTCTACATCATTGTTGCAGCCCCCTAATGACTTAGCGCCCAAGTTCAGCCACAACGATTCATTATAGACTTCACACGCTGATAAAATATGCAGCATTATAAACCAAGGTATGCTCCCGGCTTTTCGGTAGAAAATAGGAATATATGGAAATGAATTATTGAGTCAGTACAGAGTATGATGGTATGACCCAGTGTTTATTGACTCCTGAAACACTTTTTTCCACATTTTTCTTTTTAAATTAACATGAACACAAAATGTGGGGAGAACAGCAAAATACCACAGAATGTTTCAGTAATCGGCCCACCTGCCAGCAACGATGACCAGCATGTAGCCTGGCAAAAGGTATATCCAAAATGCACTCCCAGAGATTGTTGGGGAGTGAGTCACAGGTGTAAAAAGCGAAAACCAGAGAGAGAGAGATATTTGCCAGCAAATGGATACAATTTTCATGCAAGCAAAATTAGAAATCAATTATTATGAAAATACCAAAAATTACCTAATCAGTGGGTATGGAACAAAACATTTGTACGAGATGCAAATTAAAGACTACAATTTCTGGACTCTCCACCCCACTCCCCTGAAGTTGCTACCTCGTAGGAGCAAAGGAAACACTGGAGGAATATGAGATTACCACAAGTCTTTCGGCACAGGAAGTCTACAAATGGGCATCCAGGTTTAAAATACAAATAGCCTACTCATAGGAATAGTTCTTTTGTTTTTTTAAGAAAGCTGGCATTTTTGCCCAATGTTTATTCCACAGCAAACACAATTGCTTTGAACAGCAACTTTGCCTGGTGTGTTTGATGTGCAAAGGAAACAGATTTGGAAAGGTAATTATTGGGCTGCATGCTTTTAATTGAGTCAACCATTAGACTAATCAATGAAGGCTGCAATCCTGTGCTCTTAATGATGCACGCACCATGTATTCATATAGGGAGTATTATGCTGTCACTCCACACAATGCTGAATTGCAGTATTTGACCTCAGGTAAGAGCATCTGAGGTGAAACTCAAATGTCTAGTAATCATACTTCATTATTACTAAAGGCACTGGAATTATTTCACACCCCTTCCAGTTCCCATGTCTAATTGGCGCCGTTTGGTTGAGATACCAGCAGTGAATATTTCACTCATATAAAACTCAACCATCAATACTTTTTAGCTTGATCCAATTATTTCATTGATCTGCTGCCACCATTTCTTAATAGACCACTTAGACTGTTTGCTGAAACAGAATTCAGAACCATTCAAAACAGTTCACCCATTTTTGTAATAATCTGAACATTATCCAAAATTTTGCATAAATATAACATCACTAAAACATTCAAATACTTTACCACGCTTACAACCATAGTTCTGAGTATTCCTGCATTTTCAAGTTTTTAGATGCTTAGGAGTTAAGAAAGATGAGCACGCAGGCTGTTACTTATCTATGAGTGGAGAGGACAATATGAATCTTTATTGTCATTGTCCCATACAGAACAACGAAACTGACAGTAGCTTTATAAAAGTGTGTGGTAATATAGTTCTTTTTCAACTGACGTGAGCGATTTATGTTATCTGTGAGGGGAGAGGTTTTATCACTCACTAGCACAGATGGGATGAATCAGCTTCTACGCTTTATCTATTGAAGTCTAATTTGAGCTGATCAATTCTTTCAGAAATTAAGCAGGCTCTTTGTGTTGAAGTCACACAGCAATCCCACCAAGATGCGTAAAACCATCTTGATCACACAGGAACCTGAGGACATGGAATCGTTCAGAAGCATTTTAAAATTCAGACTTCACATATGGCAGCAAGAAAGTCCTTTTTTCCCTTAAGAAACTGTTAATTTGCTACAAAACATATTGCCTTTACATGCTATGTTGTTAAGTGGCTTAATATTTATCACACACACACAGGTATGTGCTAAGACTAAGCAATGCTTAAATATTAGTCTTGTTCATGGGCTTTAGTTCTGGGAGAGCATTGTGCTTGTCTGGGAATATGATAATGGTCATTCCTTATTTAAATGTATAAAGAGTAATAGCACAAAATGAAACCACTGAAGAAAATGTTGGTCTGTATGAACAAGAAAAAAACAAACTGCCTTTGTCAATTGTTTGTGGAAATATATGGAACATGGAAGAAAATATATACATATGGAAGAACAAAGCAAGGTTCATATCATTGCTATAGGTATCAATGAAATGAGTGAATTTATACTCGTGTTGTTTGTGTTACATACTTTGGTGAAAACAATACGATTTTGAGGGAAATAACCATTGTATTGCTCCCATTCTACGCATGATCTATGGTAAGTGCTGAATGTCTAGGTTTCTGCTACTGAGAATAAAAAAGTTTTCTTTTCTCTCTCCTTTATAAAAGTGAAACTAGGGTAAGAAAACTTGTGCTTGGTAATTATTAATCCTGCCTCAGCACAATTCATGGCTCAAATGCAGGAAGGAAATATTTTCCTGCAGTAATGTAAAACCTGGGACCAGGTAATTTCTCCCCACACAAATCACATCATACCCTGAAATAAAAATACACAAACATCTGACCTGCAGTGGGGATATGACTTGGCACCACAGAGACTATGAACCTTAGTCCAAAACGTTTTTACAGCATGTCTGCCTGCAAGGTAACGTGCTATGATATTGCGTAGGTACAGACAGTATCGTACGCCCCATCTGACACTTTTTGCTGGCACAACAAATTTTAGGATTGAGCTGTAAAGGTTGAAGTATTGAACACACTTCCTCATAGACTCACAAACAACAGAGATTAGGTCTGAGATTCAATTGTACAATCCGAGCTCCATTAACGTCAGAGGAGAAATTAAATCAGAGATGTAAAGTGACTCAGGATGGCATTCTGTATCTGACCACAGCTATCCTGCCATGCAATTGCCAGGTCAAAAGAAACAGAGTTACATTTCTATCATTCAAATTGTGGCAATTGGAAGATCAGTTTTAAAAGAATAAAAATAAAGCTTGACTAGGTGAATTCTTGGCATATACATGCATTCAGTTTATCATCAACTTTTTTTATTATTTAAAAAAGGTTTACAAATTTGGGTAGGAGGTGGATGCTTCGTAAAATGTGTATAGACAGATCATTCATACTTCAGAAAAAGAAGAGGGGAAAAAGGGAAACAGTGGACAGCTGCTCAACTGCTTCCACCTCTGTCCTGGGGGTCTAAAAGGCAGAGCAATGGAACGCTGCTGCTGCTGCTGCTGCTGCTGCTGCTGCTGCTGCTGCTTGGCTTTAGCAACATGAATAAAATCCAGGCAATTTTATGGGAAGTGGGAGGCTTATCCTTTTAGGGAGGGATTAACAATATAGGCTGGTGAAGCCAATAGCCTGTGCAGCAAAGTGACAAGGCGGCCCATCAAAGGCCCCACGTTGAACATAATGAAGTTGGCTCCTGACAGACGTGTACTGTAGTTCCGTTTTGCATCCCTGATTGCTTCTGTTGCTGCCCATCTGCAGTCTGCCAGAGAGGGATCCTTTTCATTGAACTAGAAAAACATACATAAAGTGCAAATCAAGACTCAGGTTTCCCCAACAGTTTCGAATGCTTAGGATCTTTATTACCAGTATTGCCAACTTGGTCTTGTCATTAGCACCAGGCTCGGTGATATTCTTCACTTTCTAAAAAACAACACCTGGTGGCGTTCTTCACTTAAAAGGCAGGTAGAAAAGAGGGGTGCTTTATGCCAAATGGATGTGGTAGGAAGCTGCCAGGAGTACCATCACTGTAATATGCAAATGCTAGACAGTGCCCAAAAAATTAGTGCATTTCTGCAAGAAGAGAGTCCAGTAATCACCGGAAACAGACCACATCTTTGGATCTTATTGCTTGCAAAACAGTCCCGTAATCATCATTAAAAGGAATTACGTTGGGTATCCCTCTGTTCAGTCTTCGTTGAGAACTGCTTCTGTCTTCCCTGCATCTACAATGAAAGATCAAATATATGATTAAATGCCAGAATACATGTTGCAGGCAGGCCAACACAGTACTTATACTGAATATCTGAGTTTATATATATTTTATATAGAGAGAGAAAACGGCAATATTCTTACTGTTCGGGGTTTTTAGTAGCAGGAATCTGAACCCAGATTTTTGAGGTCTTAACTACACCACCACATGCTTGAAAACCAAACCCTGGTCTTGCTGCTTATCACAACTGTACTATTTTTCATTTCATTTTTTTAAAAAGATCTCTCAAATGCTAAATCAGCAATGAGAACTCAAGAAATCCGAGTAGGCTGAAACTAAATGTTTTGGGGAACATATGGATGCCACCTCTCTGCATCTCTTTCCTACCTTCACAGCAAATGTTTCATTCTGAGATGATTTGTGATATGATGTCATTGTGGTTCAAATTTTCCCACCCACCCTCCACGTCATTGGCACAATGAGATCACATCATCCAGAACAGCAGCAGCAGCAGCTACACTTTCCTTATCTTGGTCTGGGTTCCCGCATCATATCAAGCTACCGTATTTTTCTCTCTATTACACGCAGATTTTTTCTCCTAAAAAGGAAGGGGAAATGTCTGTGCGTGTTATGGAGCGAATGTGGGGGGGGTCCCTGGAGCCGATTAGGGGAGCGCAGGAACAAAAATCAGCAAAAATCAATCGTGCGTTGTGTCCGAGAGGGAAACCTGAAAAGAGGAAGTGGTTGCTTTCCTGCATTCTGCCTCAGGGTCTTACTGCCCACCCTCCTCTGTTTCGTTGCTGTGTTTGCTCAAACGGAACAAAGAGCAGGCAAATCCCCTCCCCTCCAGGCAAGCAGAGGGGAAAGCAGAGGTCTTTCCTTCTAATTCCTCTCCGTGCTCCTCGCAGGCAGCCAGAAAACATGCAGGAGGAGAGAGAAAGCTGGCTTCGGTTTGTGGAAACTTTTGCCTTTCTTTCTTCCCTCCCGTAAAATCCCTCTCCTGCTTTCTTAGCCAGCTGCTTCTCTGCACACCGCTCTCTTGTCCCTTCTGTGTTTTTCCTTCACTCCCCACTTAAAATGTAGTTACAAAGCATGGATCCACATGGATCCTCAGGATCTTTGCATTGGGCCACCCCAAATTCACCATCAGATCACATAGCAGCCTGCCCCCCAAAAATCACACACCCACTGTTGCCTGGGGCTGCAATGGTGCAAAAACGTGGTTAAAAAGCATGGATCCACATGGATCCTCAGGATCTTTGCATTGGGCCACCCCAAATTCACCATCAGATCACATAGCAGCCTGCCCCCCAAAAATCACACACCCACTGTTGCCTGGGGCTGCAATGGTGCAAAAACGTGGTTAAAAAGCATGGATCCACATGGATCCTCAGGATCTTTGCATTGGGCCACCCCAAATTCACCATCAGATCACATAGCAGCCTGCCCCCCAAAAATCACACACCCACTGTTGCCTGGGGCTGCAATGGTGCAAAAATGTGGTTAAAAAGCATGGATCCACATGGATCCTCAGGATCTTTGCATTGAGCTACCCCAAATTCACCATCAGATCACATGTCTGTGGCCACAGCATGAAGCACAAAAATGATACATCCACTGTTTCATTCAGAATTTTTTTCCTTGTTTTCCTCCTCTAAAAACGATGTGCGTGTTATGGTCAGGTGCGTGTTATAGAGCAAAAAATACGGTATATTTTAAAACAAACTATGGTTTAAAGCAGGGGTCAGCAAACTTTTTCAGCAGGGGGCCAGTCCACTGTCCCTCAGATCTTGTGGGGGGCTGGACTATATTTCTTTGGGGGGGGATGAATGAATTCCTATGCCCCACAAATAACCCAGAGGTGCATTAAAAACACCAGGCAGGCCCCACAAATAACTCAGAGCTGCATTTTAAATAAAAGGGCACATTCTACTCATGTAAAAACAAGCCGATTCCTGGACTATCCACGGGCTGGATTTAGAAGGCGATTGGGCCAGATCCAGCCCCTGGGCATTAGTTTGCCTACCCATGGTTTAAAGTTAAAGAGTGGCATCCTGGTGCAGCTTGCTCAAACATACCAGAGTCATTCCTTCCCATACTCCTGCTTCTGCCTTGCTAGAGAGGAAACAAACCAGAGTTTGGTTGATGTCATCTGAACTTGGCTCCTGGGTTGTTTTCTCCAAACAAACCACAAGTGGTAACCAAGGTTTCTTGTCTTTCCACTCATGGTTTGTTTGGAGGAAACAAACCAGCAGCCCCCAGTTCAGGGAACATGACAAGCCAAACTCTGTGTGGTCTAGCTGTGGCAGCAGGAGTAAGGCATGAGCCAGATGCTGCTTGCTCACACTAAACCATCGTTTGTTCTAAACTATGGACTGGTGTGATGTGTGAACTGGGCCATTACATATTTTGGAGCTCACTTATAAAGAACTGATATTATCTGATCCAGTGGCCAATCAAGGGAAGATACAACAGTTTCAGAGACGCTTCTGCATGGGGGATAAATACTCTGACTGCATTGCCCAAATTGTGGAATGCAGACAGGCTGCTGCAATCTATACAGTACATCTTCTGGCAGAAACCTATTTTCACATATGAATTGAATTCCTGGATCAGGCCTAAGGTGAGTTCCATGTAATTAATTCTAGGGAGCTTGTAATATCACAATATGATGGGTGGCAGATTTGATGATGTCGTAAATAAATGAACATACCAACTAAATTCCTGAATTTCTTTTTGGCTTCTGCTCTTTCTTCAGCATCAAAATACCACACAGTCATGGCATACCTGTAAAGGAGAGGAAATCGATTTAAGTCTCTAAATGCTACCCTGAGAGAGGAGAAAACTACACTTTTCTCTCATATTAATAATAATAATAATAATAATAATAATAATAACAACAACAACAACAATAAAGAAAGAGTGATTCACTTCAATGTTAGAAATATATTAATAAGCAGCCAAATTGGTCAGTAGGTGACAGTCTAGGCATGCACATCACAACTCTGTTCATTTGCATGCAAGGCACACAGGTATAAATAGGCAGGCAAATACAGCTTTTTTTATGCCTTCATCTCTATCCAGTTATAGACACATCTAGAGAGTAACATCTAGAGAGTTTCCTGGTTTGGGCAGAACCAGAAACTACAGCAAATTGTGGCTCTTGGTTGGTTGGTTTGCTTGCTTGCGCAAAGTGGGGAGCCAAACAAGTGTATGCAGGTGCCTGAAGTTTGTGCTTATTTTGGCTCATTAAACTTAGGTCTCAATCCTCCAAGCCAGGATTTACATGGAAAGCTACTGTCAAACCATTTGCTATGTACCTCAACCTTTATGGGGCTGTTTTGAAAGAAGTGCTGGCTGGAGGTACTTTTTTGAATAGGGTTGGACAACATGTTCAGCATCCAGAAGCACAGTAGGAATCATATGTTGAGCCAAGAGGTCAACATTAATTTGCATAGTGCTTTACACAAAACCATGCAAATGCAAATCACCATCATTCAGGGCTTTTATTTACTCTAAATGTGAAAAATCATTAAGTCATTTCCTCACAAACATAAAATATGGCATTAGAAGAAGCTATGGTGAAAAATAAAGATAATGAATCGAAACTGTGTTTATGATAGTTCATAGGCAGTTTCTTGATGGTTTTTAAATAACTCATAGTATAATCCCATCAGGGGGTTTTAAAAATCTATTTTGATTTTGGGATTCTGGTGGATTTTGTTCTTTTTTAAAATTTATGTTGCTTTTGATTTGATGGTCTTCTGTTTTATGTTGTATTTAAGTTGTTTGTACACTTATTTACTGTATGCCACCCAGAGAATTTGGGATTGTAGGGTGACATACAAATGCTCATAGTAATAAATAAACAAGCAAGCAAGCAATTCATATTTTTGTCCCTGCTAATTTCTTCAGCAAAATTCGGCTTTAATGGCTAAGCCAGAATATTGGTCCATATAGCACAGTTTCCTCTAGCCTGAGTGGAAGCAACTCTCCAGGTCTAAGGCAGTGCAAGAAAGGTCCTTCTGAGATCTGCTACTTTACATCATTTAACTAGAGATGCCTGGAGATGGTCTTCTGCATGTAAATAATGTAGCCTACCACACTGGACCCATTGGGAGGAGTTTAGTGTTGCACTAAGGCATTGTTGTGTTAGGGAAAACATTTTGGCTTGTCAGATGGAATGATTCTTCTTCTCCTCCTGGCCTGAGCCCATCTGCAGGTGGGAGGGGGGGAGTAGGGGGGAAGCCCTGTTGTACAAGAGGAAGTCCTTATGCAGGGCTTTCTCTGATAACTCAGATGAACCCATTTACTATTTATCACTTGAATAACAATGTTTCTCTAGGTGACGTGCAAAAGAATACACAATTAAAACAATATTCGAAATAAACAAAACCAATAAAGCCCACTGAACCACAATTCAGTCATAAAATCAACGCAGAGGGGCAACCAATCACCATCAACAGAGCACCCATCCAACAACTAAAACCAATCAATGGCTGTCTATCTTGGGAGCAAGGACATAAAAATGCAAAATATCCATGGATGGATATCCAATCCTCCAGGGCAGATTTGGAGAGCACACAGGAAATGGGGAGAGGCAGGGGCAGCCTGGGTGCCAGAATTGAAGTCCATTCCACTCACAGATGCCACAACTGGGTATCATCCAATGGTTGTTTTTTTAAAAAAAACTCACATCTTCTTTACCTTGTTGCATAGGAGGGCTGCACTTCATGTGGGTTCCTTCGATCTGACCAGAAAAAAAGTAATCTGTCGAAGAGAGGTTCAACGTCTGCTACGTAGGACTTGCCCTCCGGGAATATTCGTAGAATTCCACCATGTAGCTTGAGAGAGAGAGAGAGAGAGAAAGAAAGGAAGAGGATTCATTTTTAAACTTAAGAAAATTTAAGATATGATTGTGAATCATAAGTGTTTGAGAAACAGAAGGGGAGATTTAATGTAAAGGAAAAGGAAAAATATTACTGGGAGGAGAAGCACCGTTAATGGGCTTAGGAATGACTGACTGACTCAACAGGATAAATACAGAAGTATACCACTGTTTAGGCACATGATAGAAAAGAAACCGCTTTATTTATTCTTTCTTTTTATAGAATGCTTGTCTTATCATTTGTGGAGTTGTTTGGTTTTCTTTTCTTTCTTTTTTTAAAAAGGTTGCCGCCTCCTGTTGGGTTCGTTGTAACTTGCAAGCTAGGCATGATTCTTGAGAATATTTCAAAGTGTACACTTGCATATACGGTTGTTTCTCTTCGGATCCCACCCCTCCCCATAAACTTCCATGTGGGACACTGTTGTAAAAGTAAAATCTAGTTTGTTAAAAGTGCCAAGGAGGCTCCTATGACCCTCACAGAGCAACAATTCACAGAGTTCCCTGAGAAGAGAGATTGGTTGCAAAACCACTCTGATAACTGGAGCTCTCTGAGGGGAAGCAACATCTCCTAACAACTCTTAGCACCCTTAACAAAGTACAGTTCCCAGTTTTCTCCGGGGAGAGCCATGGCTGTTTGAAGTGATATGACATGGCTTTAAATGCATAGCACAGATGGGGCAAGAGTTTCCTCACTGTTTTGTCTCTGCTACGCCAAACCAGGGGGCTTTATTTACCCCACTCCTCTCTGTTTATTTATTGCTCTCAGGCTTGTTACTGGCACTTACACAGCAGCCCAACTGTAAGCCATGGGGCACAACCACAGGACTGTCACTTTGGTTGAGGGTTTTACTTCACAAGGATCGTGGGAAGCATCAATGGAAACGGCAGGTACATTTTCCTCCTGGGAAATGCCAAAACTTGGATGAAGAGTCTAACTACGCAGACATCAAAGCCGTCTCTGGTCCCACAATCTGCCAGCCAACCAAGTGGAGAGGCAGCAGCAACCTGTGCTGCCTTAAGGCCTTTTAAAAACATGGTGGAGTTTAGAAGCATTTTCCAGCCGCCTCGGAGCTCCCAGAATAAGTCCAGGTTGACACATTTCAATAGGGGATTGCAGCCAATTATAGCTCCTGATGAGCTACATATACGATACTTGTGTTTGCCACTTGTAGACACTTTTGTGTATACTTAAGAAAAAAAACATTTTAGGGAATAATATGGCAGCTTGCAAGTTATAATGAGTCCCCCAGGAGGCAGCAACTCATTTAACTCGCTCGGGCAATTTATATACTACTTATATTTAAACAAAACTCTAAGCAGAAAAGAGTTCTAAGAAAATGTAGTCCGGGTTCTTCTATTCCCTACTCAGAGGGTTTGGGATCTTACTGGCTTGGTTTGCACATCAATGGTTTACCACGATCACACCTTTATGGTCTATTTCGCTCCTTGAAGCCACAAATGCCTGGCTTTGTGTTAGGTCCAAATCAGGGATCATGGCTTGTTTTGTTCCCAAGAAACCACAATCAGTAGCTGAGTTTGTTCTTGGATTACTGAGCTGGAGTTTTGCAGCAAACAAACCACAATCCCCAGTTCAGCTGCAAAACTAAGCCAGGGATTGTGCTTTGCTTCTTCCCAGGACAAGAGAATAGAAGTGAGCAATGTTTTACCACGATGTGCAAGCTGGGCCATTCTGTCAATATTTCCTTGTCTGTCACGAGGGCTGGGCACTGCTATTGACTGTAGAAGACTTTTTTTTTCCCCAGATTCAGGGCTTTGAAAATTGATGTTTTTGACAGATCCTAAGGGCACAATGCCAACTCATTTCTCTTCAGGTACATCATGGCAAACTGCTTCCAAGCCCTGAACAGGTATGTTAGCAAATACACTGCTATTTATGAGGTTTAGGCTAAGGCATGGAGGGCGAGGCTTACCCGATAATGAAAAAATACAAGTTTGCACAACCTCCTTCTGCATAACGCAAGACACAAAAAAATCCCTCATAAGCACAATTGTTCCTTTAGCATTCTTTAAAGGTTGTTTCATGGGAGGGAGGGATAGTTCAAAGGATGAGAGGACTACAAACTATCCTGTGATTCTTTATGTAATCTGCTTCAGCTGCCAAGAGCACATTTGTTTCTTTGCAGTGTTGTTTTGTTTTCATCAGGCTAAAACCTTAATTATTCAACTCTTTAAACCCTCAGCCCAGAACCTCCAAATAACTACTTGCCTTCCAAAAATCGTGTGTCAAATGGAAATAAAAATAATGCAACAAGGAAATAAATTTTAGCTTCAGGTTTTCCCTGTGCTCACTGTAAACAGTGGTTATGTATCCAGTAACAAAACGGTGTTATGGTTCAGTTGCTTCCCAACCTAGTGCCCTCCTGGTGTTTTTGACTACAACTCCCATTAGGTGTGCCAGATGAGGCTGAGAGAAGTTGTTGTCTGAAACATCTGGATGTGCTAGATTGGGGAAGTCTGGCTTAGGCCAGGAGCGGATGGCCAGGGGAAGCATCACAGCTGGCAACACATCATGGCAATGGTGGCACTGCCACATTCTGGGGTGGGGTGGAGCAGTGCATCAGTGATGTCCTACCTTCGAATCCCAGTTCTTGTTCAGGTAGTAAATACAGGTGATACAGCGCCCATCGCCATTGGGATTGTCTACATGACGCACATAGCCAGTTCCATTTCCAGGGTAGCAGGCTACCATTGCCTAAGCGATGAAATGCAAAGAGAATGAACATTGGTTAGATTTTTCTTCATGGATGTTTTAATGTTTGTTTTTTTTGAAGAAAATACTTAAAATGCATAGACAGCAAACATCAATAGAATGCTCACCATAAAACTGTTGAGAGAAACATATACCCCACCCTGGGAATCAATGATAATTGACACAGAAGCAAGCAAAGCACTTAACGCAAACTGAAATCAAGAGGATACCAAACTGAGACGAGAAAACCAATATAAACGAGATAAAATGGCAATAAGGGGATAATGTAGAAGAGAAATGGATAAAATATTTGCAGATACCAATAGAATTAAGTGCAGATTTTCTTAATTAAAAAATGAATAAACAAACCCTCCAAATAATGTTTCTGCTTTTTTCTTAAACTTTCTATTTACTCTTTTTTGCCATGACCCAAACAACAATGCCAAGCTTTTCACCTACTGATCACAGACTGATTTCTGTAGGTGCTAACAAGATTATTCGCACACACCTCATTCTCCTGTAAAATCAATGCTCTTAAGAAGCAATGCTCCTGGATGAAGAATGTGAAACTCATTCTCATTTCAACTGATTTGTTAATAATTTTAAGCTGGAGATTAGAAGCAGGTGAAACTGAGGAATAGTCAATCAAGTGCCGGCAGAGAACTTAAAAATACATTTTAAAAATTCTGCAGCATTAGTGTAGGAATGGTTGGTCCAATTCTGCATGAAGTTGTCCTGTCTGCACATGCACACCCGCCCCACCCGAAATTCGAGCAAGCACCATGTAAGCACAGGTTGTTGGTGTATGGTCACTTTCTAGTCTATTCTGGTGCTACAGTGCTAGGGTTCAAGGGGCCAAACTAGACACTCCATGAAAATGCTTGTACTGACAGTGGCAACTACCTTTCCATCACCGCCAAAATCGTGATGCATTTGAAGCAGACCAAGAGGAGGGAAGTGGCATGAAGGGGCAATGTGAAGCAGGAACCTATTATGCACACAGTTTTTCTTACTCACATTAGAATATAATAAAGAGTCCTGCTGGACAAGGCCAAGGACCAATCTGGTCTCACAGTGGCTAACTAGATGCCTATGGGAAGCCCAAAAGCAGGACTCATGTCCAACAGTACTCTCCCCACTTGAGATTCCCAGCAATTTAGAGGCAGGCTGCCTCCACAGTGGAGACAGAATGCAACCCTCAAGGCTAATAACTGCCAATAGCTCTATCCTCCAAAAATTACTCCAAAGCTGCTTTTACTGGTGATAACGGGAACTAGAGGGTTTGGTATATATATATTTCTGTGTAATGTCTAGTTCTCAGCCCTAAGTTATTCAAGTGATTTTCAAACGACACAATCCACTAGGAAGTTCTCCTGAGCAAATCCCATTGAAATGAATGGCAGGTGTGCAGGAAGCTCTTGAATAGCTCCCTTTCATTTTACAGGGACTTTCCAAGGAGAACTTTCAAGTTGAGAACTTTCAGGGTGTGGTTTCAGAGTACAGGACTGAGAGTTGGCCAGGCCTGGATAACAACAGGCCATGTTTTCTTGTGGGGAAACAGGCTATAATGGTAATGCTCTAAAGATTATCTCCATTTTCATTATCTGCCCCTGAGTTTGCCATATGTCCCTTATCCAAAGGAGCGTTTCTAAATGCTTTCCCATAGCCACTTATTTCAGGTACCTTAATCACATACTGTTCTCTCATATACTCTCATTTTCTTTTAAAGTGTTCAAGTGATACAGTTTCCTTCTTTCGGGATGCTTTATATTTAAATGCCTTGAAGGGAACAAAACTCTACAGCCTGAGGTCGCTCTTGGCTCCTTTGCTGAGCTTTCCAAATCTATCAGACTGCGCTGACATGGTCTATGTGTCTGCTGTCTGAGGCTGAGCTACAGAACTGGCCAAAACATACTGTATTACACTTCTTGTTCTGAATATTTTCAATACACCGTTAGTCCTCATTTTGTTTAGTTTACCACACCAACAAATTTGAAACACCCACTGTTATGTAGTGTAGTTTCACCCTGGGCCAACAGGGGGATACTGTATATAGTTTTCACTCAGGTCTGTAGATAGTTTTCACTCAGGTCCGCGGCAGTTATTTTAGGCGGGAACTCTGGGCTGTTGTGGTTACAATGTTGACAGCCGGCTGCCTATAAATACAGGCCGGCTGAGCTGTTCGCAGTCAGTTGTATTCCAGCTTACCATAATAAAGAGCTACTTGAAGAAATCGCTGTGCCGGCTGCTATGTCAACCCACGACTTAACACTGGCGACGAGGATGGGATGGATGGACATCAGAGCACAGCCAGATGCGGCCAGCCTCTGAACTGAGCTGAATCACTGAGCTGAATCACAGAGCGAAATCACTGAGCGAAATCACTGGGCAGAACCAATTCAGAGCTGACTGTTCTGGCTAGAGCACTGTGTTCCATCCATCGCCCTTCACGCCGGCATCGGAATCATGGCTTCACTTGTGCCTCTACCGCCGTTTGCGCCAGCCTCTGAATCGTGGGACTCCTACCTCGCTCGGTTCGACTGCTACCTCCAAGCCAACGAGCTGACAGCAGTATCAAAGGATCGGAAGCGGGGCCTATTCCTCAGCCTCTGTGGGCCTGAGGTGTTTGAGACGGCCCGAGCGTTGGTTGCACCTGAAGCAGTCCAGGCAACACCATGGGACACGATCCAAGAGAAGCTCCGCAACCACTACGCACCAAAGCCGTCCAAGATTGCTGCCCGCCATGCGTTCTACCACCGGAACCAGGCAGAGGGGGAGTCAATCAACAACTACACCACCGCCCTGCGACAGGCTGCAATGCACTGTGAGTTCCGAGACTTAGACGATGCCCTGATGGATCGAATCGTCTGCGGGGTCCGGGACATCCATCTGCAACGGCGCCTCCTAGCCAAGCCAGACCTCACGCTACAGAAAGCCATTGAGGAGGCTGTGGCCTCAGAAGCTGCTGAACGCTCCGCCCAGGAGATCCGCAAGTCCAGCAGCCCGCGTCTTGCTAGGGAGCCAGTTCCGGTGCATCATGAAGAGGCCAGCAGTGATGAGGCATCCTCCAGTGAAGACGATGACGTGCACCAGACAAAGCGGGAGCGCAGGAAGTTCCAACAGAAGTCCAAGGGCCAACCGGAATGTGCTGGCTGCGGAGGCAACCATTCCCGTGCCAAGTGTCGATTCAGAGACGCCATCTGTAGGAAGTGTTCCAGAAGGGGCCACATCGCTAAGGTCTGCCGATCGGCTCCGTCTGACACCCCCCCTTCATCGACTCGCAAGTCCAAGTCTTCACTCCAGTCTGCCAAGGAAAGTTGTTTCGCTCTCACCAACTGCCGCTGCCCGTCTGGAACCACGATTGGCCAAACCGACTCGCCTACGCGACGCAAGCTGAACGTCACGGTGCTCATTGAAGGAGCTCCATGTGACATGGAGATCGACACCGGGTCTGCCCTGTCCATCGTGTCATGGAGCACCATCAAAAGACTGGTACCCAGAGTGTCCAAAAGGCAACTCGACTCTCACCGCGTACACCTGAGAGACTACCAGGGAAACGACATTCCCGTGGTAGGCGTTGGCCGGTTCCGGATCGCTTTCAAGGATTTTTCGGGCCTGCTCCGGTTGGTGGTGGTCGAAGGTCAGCGGCCAAGCCTCCTAGGGCTAGACTGGTTTGATGCCCTCGGCCTGGAAGTCACCGGCATCAACTGCATCTCTAACGCAGAGACTGAGGGTCTGGTCAAAGACTTTGCCGAGGTTTTTGACGGCACCTTGGGCCAATATACAGGTACGCCCATCTCCTTTAGCCTTGATCCACAAGTCGCCCCCATCAAGCTAAAGCCACGCCGGGTTCCCTTTGCTCTCAAGGCTAAGGTGGACGAACAACTGGACAAACTGATCGCCCAAGGAGTTTTGGAGCCGGTTGACCACGCAAAGTGGGAAACCCCCATCGTCACGCCTGTCAAGCCAGATGGGTCGGTGAGAATCTGCGCTGACTACAAGTGCACGATCAACAAGGCACTTCAGCAGCACGCTTATCCGGTTCCTGTTGTCCAACACCTGCTGCATTCCCTGGGTGAGGGTAAGGTCTTCGCTAAGCTGGACCTTGCCCAAGCCTATCAACAACTGCCAGTCGATGATGCCACTGCGGAAGCCCAGACGATCGTCACCCACCGGGGGGCATTCCGTTGCCGCCGGTTGCAGTTCGGGGTGAGTGTGGCTCCTGGCATCTTCCAAAGCCTTATGGAGCGTCTCCTGCAAGGGCTTCCGGGCGTGGTACCATATTTTGATGACGTCTTGGTGTCTGCAGACTCACACCAGCAGCTGTTCGAGCGCCTCCGTGCCGTGCTGACCAGGTTCCAGGAGGCCGGGCTCAAGGTAAAGAGGGAGAAGTGCCAGATCGCCGTTCCACAGGTAGAGTTCCTGGGCTATCTTATCGATGCCTCCGGTCTTCATCCAACCACATCCAAGATCCGCGCTATTCAGCAGGCCCCCACCCCAAAGAACAAAACGGAGTTGCAGGCATTCCTGGGGCTGCTGAACTTTTATAACATGTTCCTGCCCCACAAAGCCACAGTGGCTGAGCCTCTTCACCGACTCCTTAGCACTAAGACGCCTTGGGCCTGGGGTCATCGGGAGACGGCGGCCTTCAACGCGGTCAAGGCTCTCCTTTCTTCAGACAGTGTGCTGGTACAGTACAGTGAATCCAGGCCGCTGGTCCTTGCCTGCGACGCCTCACCTTTTGGCATCGGTGCTGTCCTTAGTCACCGTTTTCCAGATGGAAGAGAAGCACCGCTCGCCTACTTTTCCAGGACACTATCTCCGACGGAACGGAATTACAGCCAGCTCGACAAGGAGGCATTGGCACTTGTGGCTGGAGTGAAGAGGTTCCATGAATACCTCTATGGCAGGACTTTTGACCTCATCACTGACCACAAGCCACTCCTGGGCCTCCTCGCCGGTGATCGTCCAACTCCACCGGTCCTCTCACCACGCATGCTGCG